CATACTAGTTGATTGGTCTTTGATACTTCATTTGAACACCTATAGTTAATTGGATGCTAGTTGATACAGTTTAGTTGACTCCTTTTTCAGTCCGGTAGCATCCAGTTGCGACTCTCACCTAGTTTGTGCCCCCTTGCCACCCCGGGATACGCGGCCATGCCCTGCTCCCATGCCCTGCCCCACTCAGCTTCCCACGCTGCATTGAAGGCTGCCTCAGTCCGCTCACAACGCTCGAGGACCGGAAAGGCTGATTACAACCCGTTGGTCTAGTTTTTTTTTACATAGCCAGTCGCTATGGAAAATAACCCATGTATAGATGATTTGTATGGAACTATGATGATCTACCGTTCTTAAAAATGGTGATTTCCATACCTACATTAAATAACGAGAGGGTAATTCATCAGCAAATTAGTAGGGATTTTCTTTTCTAGCTTTTTGGAGGTTGCTATAGCTTCAAGTAAAGTGTTCATAATCATAAGTGTTCCTACGAAGTCCAAACCCTCAGTTCCTCTTGGGGTATGACTGAACATCTGGGTTTGTCTGAAATTAGGGTACCCAAAAAACCTGTGGTTTGTCAAACAATGCTCGGGGAAATTGCACTATGTGGTGTCCCCATGTTGGGACAAGCCCAAGCGGAAGGAAATGGAGGCATTCGAGACATCTGGAAACACATGTTGGTTTCACATGTCAATCGATCCTGAGGTCCAGAAAACCATAGTTCATCAAATTCATTTTCTAGACAGGATTCGAAGATCATTTCAAACCACCAACTGATGATCTCCCATAAAATGAATTGCTTCTCCCAGCCCTACCCTATTTAGATCCCTCAGGAAATGGAATTATGGCTTTGTCTGGAAATGGGTTTGCCCCAATTTATGACAACCTTACGCATGGCAAAACCTGTGGTGAACATTGATAAACCATGGGATTCCGTTTGTTCCCCCCTCAAAAACCGTTGGGTTCCCCCGCCTCTCTGCCTTTCTCAAATTCCAGAGCGTCCACATGCGGTGATGCTTCCTCACGCATGTGGACGTTGTAACCTGTCGTGGCAAACACGGAGAATCCGCCTCGCCGGAGAATCCCAAAGATCTCACCCACCGCCACGGCGATCGGTGGCACCGCGCCTGCAAAAATGTCCTCGCTGAGGTTCACCACGGGAGAGCCTTTACCTGAGGAAGTTTCCAATGGGGATACCCCGCTGATTTCATGGAAAAACACCTTTTTTTTTCATGATTTATGATGATTTGGGGGGTACCCCCCATGACTTAGGAGTTTCCTCCATTTCAGCCATGTTCATCACATGGAGTTGGTCAGTTAGTCATTGATGGGTCAGTGTTTACTGGTGCTTGAGCTACCCATCCCTAGCTTGCTACATGACGTCAATTGATGTCAATTGGGAATTATTTCAGGTAGCGGTATGTTTCTTGAAACATCTTGAAAACACTTCCACTTCTAGTCGGTTTGGTCATGATTTCATATGATTTCACCAAAAAACACATGACTGGGAAACCCAAAAGCATAAAACATCCCCAATTTTGAATTTTAGCAGAAATAGATTGCTATGAACCGACCCGAGGACTACCCGAGGGTTTCTTGTTGGGTTTACCCTGCAGCTTGAACATGTTCGCTGTGACCTCAAGTCCCAAGTGACAGCATCACCTAAAAATGGGGGGTTGGATTCCCACCAAAATCATCCAGATCGACAAGGGACTCATTCCTCCGCGGTTTCTGGCCCAAAATCCATCGACAAAATCGGGATGCCCGTAGTGCATTCGTGTACCCATACCTCAGGCAGAAACTCAAGGCTTGATGAAGTTCTTTCATGCCTTCAAACACATGGGAGTATAGCCTCTGGCTAAATTTCACTTCGCGAACTGGAAAATCGCGATTTTAATCTAAAACATCATACATCATCGAACCAAATGGGCCATGGTTTAGTTATCTTAAATCATCTTAAATAACATGAGGGTAATACGGAAAGTCATCACATGTAATAAACGAACATCAGTGGATACAATGAGTTGACTATTATTGCTGAATATTGCTGCATTTAAATTCAGTTTACTTCTTTGGAGGGGGACGTTTCGGGAAGCCAAACTTCAGGATCACCGGGATGCGAATGATCATCGGGTATAGTTGGTGGTTTCAAGCCATTTCAAGCCCCTTATAGCGGGAAAAGTCAATTAGGGATAATCAATCCAAATAATGCCAAATAAGGGTGGAAACAGAAACAAAATAAGACATGTTTCATCATGTTTGAACACACCAGCCAGTTTGTCCAAACATTGCAATGTGATTTGCACACATCAAAGGTGTCAAGTTCCACCAAACAGAATTGAGTCGGTGACTCTTTGGGCCAAAACAAAACCAACGATTCTATGATTATTGCCTTGGATCTAAACTGCTCTAGACGTATTCCGGTGCGAGTCTTATTCAGTCGCGCACAAGGCCTCACATATGGCCCATAAATATAGAATGGACATTGATCCTCGAGGACTGAAGAAATGTCTTGAATATCTTTGAAACAACTGGTATACTACGACAGGCCCATATCTGGACCACGCAAAAATCATGTGAACCTGGCACCCGTGGAAAATTTGGCACTGTGATTGAGGAAAGATTTTTGAAGCTGTTTCCAAACCTGAGTTTGCAGGTCCTTTTTGTTTCTGAGGGTAGTACCACCCATTACGCACAGACAAACATCTCACCACACCCTTTCAACCTCTGGCAGAAATGCGTCACTGCATATCACGGCTACATTTGCCTCTTCCGAAGGCACTTCGTCACACGTTTACCGGCCAATTCCACCAGTGTTTCGCCATCCTCGGTGGTGGCATCAATATTGGCACCAGAAGCCACAAGAAATTGAACCATCTCAGGGTCATCCTTGGCAGCTGCTACATGCAAAGCAGTCATGCCTTTTTCTGTAGTGGCCTCCAAGTCTGCAGAAGACGCAAAGAGAAAACGCGCAACTTCAATCCGCGAGCTGCGGCCACTTGCTGCTGCTTCATACAATGGCGTGTTGCCGGAATTTGTTACTACCTGGATGTCTGCAGAAAATTCAACCAGGGTCTTAACGACCTTGATATGACCAAACCGAGCTGCCTCGTGCAAAGGTGCTCTCCCACCACCTGACTTGGCATCTTTGTCCGCGCCAGTTTTCAGCAGCAAACGCACCAGGCTCGGCATGTTCCCAGCTGCTACCAGATGTAAAGGCCTCCTACCAGCAGACGTCGCCGCTTCAATGTCAGCCTTGCAGTCCAGCAAAAGTGAGCACATTTTTCACGCCCAAGGACCGATGCCTGGTGCAAGGGCGTTTGCCCAGAGTCAGTGACAGCCTTGTGGTTGGCTCCAGAGTCCACCAACAAACGAAGCACATCAAGACTACCGGCCTTGGCGGCTGCGTGTAAAGGCGTAAGTCCAGAAGCTGTGCTGGCGTCTTTGTCCGCTCCAGACTTCAGGAGGATGTGAGCAACTTCCAGGTTCCCAAGCGCAGCTGCATCATGCAGAGGTGTATTGCCATCATCTGCCCGTGTGTTGGCATCAGCCCAGGCTTCCAGCAGCAATCTGCAATTGGGACCACTGTACTTACCCCTTGCAACGTAGTGAAGGGCTGTTCGGCCTTTTGATATGACGTTGGGATCTCTGGGTTGACGCAGGATTGCCTCCACCATTTCAGGTGGACAGATTCTGCAAGCAGACATCAATTCCGCATCTTTCTCGTCGGGAGGCAAGAACTGCATCAGCAAAAGATGCAAAGTTTCATCGGTCAAAGGACTCAAAGGATCATCATCCGCTAAAGGGCTGTGATCACGGAGGAGTTTCTGGCAAAACCGGGAACATCCAGTCTGCAGCTCCAACGATTTCTTCAGGTCTCGCACAGACATGCTCTGAAACCCAGCTGCCTCAAGGCTTAAAATGGTTTCACCAGAGACAGCAGACACCACCTGCAACATGCCAGAGATAAAATCGCCACGTAATTTTCCGCGTCCCGGCTGGTATTTCGAATAAGAGAAGGCCTTGTTGACGTGCGATTAGAAGACTTCTAGGTCAACATAGGCCATCCCCCAAGGACTGGCTATATTAATATCCAGCGACAATGACGATATGTATTATATACGAATTAGGAAATACGTTCCCAGGGGGACGATCATGAATCCTCCCAACTGTGGGGCTATGTTTGGGAAATCTGCAAACAGTTTACCCTCTGGTAAACTAACATAGCTATGGAAAATGGCCATTTATAGTGAGATTTCCCATTAAAAATGGTGACTTTCCATTGCTATGTTAGTTTACCAGAGGGTATCTTAGTTTCATCTGTCGATTCGATTGGTTGCCACAGTAAGATGCTTATTCCTGAAAAAAAAATGTGATTGCTAGCTGTGTTAAATACATATCCCCCTCTTTGCTGCTTGCATAGGATATATTTGGATATGTGGACGAGGTTTCCTAAAATGGGGGTTCCCTAAATCATCCATTTTTGGGTATCCCCATTTATGGAACCCCCCGTATCATGATATGTCCTGAGGTAGTAACATCCACATCTACTAGTCTTGAGCCTGCGCGCAAATGCTAAGGCGTTGTTTCAGGTCACTATAGATTTGTAGAGAACTGGTTGCTACCGCTGTGAATAATATCACGTAATAATAATATCGAAAATATCACAAAGATGTATCACAAAGATGAATGAATATGAGTTGCGGATCACCATCACTCTTTTAGGCGAGGAACAAAAACGGAATGTGTGCAACCAGCACGAAAAAACATGGGAAGCTGCTGCTCCACAAAAAAAAATGCTTTACACGTTGTCGCATCAAGCTGTAGGCTTCGAGGTTCAGCGATTCATGGATTGACATTTACAGTACAACCCATCAAGCATCAAAGTGGGGCACTTCCACAAAGATCTGTGTTGCGAAAAACTAAGCCAACCGGTTCAATGGATGTAGTACTCCAGTTTGGACTGCGACAGACTGACAGACCGACAAACAGACAGATAGAAAGACAAGCACATGGAAAATTATATGATGTATATCTGGTTGGTGGTTTCAACCCCTCTGAAAAATATGAATCTGGTTGGTGGTTTCAACCCCTCTGAAAAATATGAGTCAGTTGGGATGATGAAATTCCCAACTGAATGGAAAGTCATAATCCATTCATGTTCCAAACCACCAACCAGTATATATATATAGACAAACACACATAGACACATAGACGGAGTGACCCCGTAACTTACGACGGCCTTACGGCCCAGGTGCCGCTCAAAAATCGCTGGTAGATGGTTCCAAAGGTCCATTCCGCTGCCGCGTGGCACTTGCCCACCTGGTCGTTGTGGTGTCCCGATTCTACCCGCCAGAAATGGATAGAAATGGGAGATTCTAAGCGTTTTTAATGGGAACAACATGGGAATTTTCAAGCAACACTAGGGATATACTTGGGAGATAGTGAGACAATTCTTGGAATAATGAATAGTGATTGGAATTACCATCCGGTAATCAAACAAGTACAATTGAAGAGGCTATATATATATATATTATTGTGTTTTAATGTGAACATCATCGAGAAAAAATAGGGGAATGGTCCAGCTAGCCATGTTTGATAACCAACAAATATGTAGGTCATATTTCCTTCCCCAGGGAACTTTCACCAAAATGGTCAATTTCGGGGGAGAAACCAATGGTAGTTCACCCACATCACCCGCATCTGCTGGCTTTTTGGCTAGTCCAAGTCCTACCTTTGCCATGTTCAATCCTCATACCATCTGGTTATGACTAACATAGCCATGGTATAGATGGCCCATAGAAATAGATGGTTTACCTATTAATAGCATGGTGATTTTCCATGGCTATGTTAGTCATAACATGTCATAACCAGATGGTAACAGGTCAATATGTATAGATCAAACACTCCGGGGATTGGAATACTATAATTTCCTCTAAAAAAGACCAATAAACTGAGGGTTTACCCTCCAGTAAACTAACATAACCATGGAAAATGGCCATGTTTAATAGGGACACCATCTATTTCATGGGTCATTTTCCATATGGTTAGTTAATTGGAGGCGATGTGAACATTTGGCTTCCGCATCACCACCGAATGATTCCACCATGGATGATCTCAAGGCAGTTTTGCTCGAGCCAAGCGGCAGTTCCTTCTCTTCCGGTATAAATGTGCTCGCGAAAGCCCAAGTAGCGGCACTGTGTGGCCACACCTGGAGATTGGGGATCAAATTTGGTGCATGTCTTGGGGGAATGACATCCAACCCAGATGGAAGGAGTATATGTTGATATCAACCTGGTTCAACCTGGATCTTCCTGAAGGTAGCCTCTTTTAGCCAAAATCTGCCTGAAATCTGAAGGGCTGAAATTGTGTACCCTTACTGTAGGCTAAGGGGCCCCTTTTTTTGCACAGGTGGATTTCATAGAAATATATTATACATGTACCAGCTGGTTATGACTAACATAGCCATGGAAAATCACCATGCTATTAATAGGTAAACCATCTATTTCTATGGGCCATGGCTTCCATGGCTATGTTAAATAACCAGAGGGTACATATCATATACATATCATATACTGTACATCTTGTGACCAACCATTCCTTCACGTAATCCCAGCTACTGCCTGCCACTCTGGGGCGCGGGCGATTCTTCTTGTCCAGCGGCATAAACAGCCGCAAGACGTAAGGGACCTGGTAGCACTGGTAGCAGTTGCAACCCTCCCCTCCAAAAAAAATCCAAGGTACAAGGTATCACACCCACCTGCGAACTAACACAGAACCCCCAAAAAATTACACTTTCCAATCTTCCAAAGTGAACATATTCTTCTTCCAAGAGCTTTTCTTGGGGTTCTATGGGATTCTATGCGAGCTTTTTTCGCGATGGGTGGGACTGGCAGGGTGGAAGCACAGGTCGAAGCTCTATAGGGATGGAATAAGTGGCTCGATTTGAGTTTGAAAATCGAGTATCCCCAAATCTGTTGATCAATCATGGTCCGATCGTTTCGCTATTAAAATTGTTCTATATTTGATAATTTCACATGAAAAACATATTGAATCCATGTACATCCCATTCATGTCCATTCAAAATCCTATGAAGTCCACATGTTCGAACGGCCGGGCGACCTTGAAGCCTTCACCCCTGAAAGCGCCCATGTTGCAGTCCAAAGCCTGCGACGCTGGTGAAACGTTGAAAGCTCTGATGGTGAAATCATGAATCTATGGAAATCTGGATGAATATTACTATAGATTTCATAATTCCAGATAAACACTAGTAGTGAATAAATAATCATCATTGGAACTCATGTGATGGTCAATGGATTGGTTTAAGGGAAAATCTACAGGAAACCATAGATTTTCCCATTAAATATGGGGCTTTCCTGTAATTTTTTCCTTAAACCAATCCATTGAGATGGTTATTCTCCAGATAAAAACTTATGAACAAATGATTTTCACATTGGGATCATGTGCCATCATGTGGTTGGGAACCTGTGACTGAAGCTCCTTGGCTCCCCGAGGCTCCCCGTGAAATGCATTAAAAACAGGCAACGTGGATACAACCATAGCTCCCAACTGATTCCTACTAACCACCAGATAGTATGAAACTAGTGTTAATATCATTGGGAAATAACATTTATTATTCCAATAGCTCGTGGGATATAATAGGATATAACGGGATATACTGGTGGAAATTCTATCAAGATGTCTGGATAAATTGTAAACATCCACCAACATGAAATAAAGCTAGGGGGTGAGCAAGGGAACGTATCCCAAACTGGCTTTATTTCAGGTAGCTATTAATGACTATAACTAAACTGTCATAGTGACCCCCTAAAAAAAATCGAAAGGTACCACTATTTTAGTATGCTGTGGTCTAAGTGTCCAATCTGGTGAAGATCCATGAATTGAAAACGGTTTGGAAAATGGTTGGACACATTTCCATCTGGGTCGTCAATTTATGCAATGTCAGACATCTGCACCAGAATCTAGTTGCATGTCAGATCTGGCTGTGCGATCCCCTCTATTGGAAATGCTTTAGAGGAAGACATGTTTCATGTTCCATAGCATTTTCAAAGCCATATTTTCAGAACATAACTGGTTGGTGGTGCAATATGAAAAATATGAGTTCGTCAATGGGAAGGATGACATCCCAAAAAAAGTATGGAAAATAATCCAGCCATGTTTGAAACCACCAACCATTTTTCAGATGATGTTCTCCCTAGCATGGACCATCATTTACACAGAGACTTCGTTGGAAACTTCGTGATCTGTGACATCGAGTCACCTGGGAACGACCGGAGGGATTGATTTTTTATAGCTACCCTCTGGTAATTTAACGTGGCTATGGGAAAATCACCATTATTAATGGGAAAACTCACTTTAAATGGCCATTTCCAATAGCTATGTTAAATTACCAGAGGCTATTCCTATACTGCTTGGTGGTTGACCTACCCCTCTGAAAAATGATGGACGAATCGTCAATTGGGATGATGACATTCCCTTTTCTGAATGGAAATTCGCAAAAATTATATAATGTGCCAGTCACCACCAACCAGTATAGATTTGTCCCAAAATAGTCTCCAAACAAACTGACTGACGAACCACAATTTCCCCTATTAACATGACCATTTTCGAGACCCCATTTTCAGTCACACCTGCAGCACCTGCATGAAGCTTCAAGATTGCATCTATAGTAGCCCCGGAGAGATAGACATTCATTTATCATTATATATGTTCGTTGTATTTTACCTTGCCTATGTTTTTTCCCCCTGTTGCTATACAACACATAGATTCTTTGCTATTTGCAAGACTTCCTTGTCCTGGAAAGCATGCTTAAACGTATGCAAACACAAGGATGCTAGCTGAACATCAGATTTACATTCCATCCGAGCAAATTAAAATTAATTAATTCACTGATCTGAATCCAAAACTATTTTGGGAAAACGTTACCCCAGAATCCTAACCAGAATCCGAAAACCCATCATTTTTCCGGGCTCGGAGCCGGGCTCGGTCGTGATGAAATTTGGATTTCATGTTCCCCTCAGATATTCCTATATCACTCATGGAACAAAAAAATCATAAACTACAATTGTTAATATTCATCTATATATCCCATTGTGTTAAACATTCTTGTTATACTATGTTCATGGGATTCATATATACATATATATATATTTATACTATTATTATTATTACTATTATCATTATTATTATTGCTATTATTATTACTATTAATTATTAATGATGATTATGATTATTATTATATATATATGTATATAATTATATATATATATATATCATATCATTGTAGATCCCATATGCTTTACCACACATTGAAAATAGGAATCGAAGACTTCGCCATTTGACTATCCACCTGGATGTAATGACCAGAGGCAAAGCGGACTCCATTGAGCTGATTGCAGGCCTCAAGCACCGTCGCGGAGCTCGGACCAGGGCGTTTTTCTTGGGGCTAAGCATACAAGAAACATACCAAAAACATGCCAAAAACCATCGAAATTCATGGGTTTACCTAGTTTACCTTGGAAGTCATATTAACAAAAAACTAGAAATGGAGGGCTTTCCAGATCTATGTTAGCTCACTGGAGGGTATCTGTCCTACCTCAAGTTCTTTGAGACCAATTAAACATAGTGGCTGACCCAGTTGGGTCGTTCCAAAAGTCTGGGGGGGAACTGGAAACCGGAACCAACATGAACCGAACCGTAATGAAACCGAACAAAACGCAGCGCAGAAACCGAACCGGTAAATTGTGGAACCGAACCGTTTGAACGCTCTGATCAGTATGGTGCCCAGAACCGTATATTTGATCGAGGTTATTGGGTTCTTAACTATGTTCCTGAGTACTGTGGCAGAAGCAACCGGACCTATGACCGCAACATAAGAAGTAACCAAAACCTGTCCCCGCAGCCGACATCGATCAATTTTGGGGGAAGAATCTATCGTTTCTGTCCGACAAGCCGGATTCAAAGATTGCCAACCTACGTTCTTTCATTTAGATAAGTTGATCATCTCATATATTGAAAAACCATGGTTTTTGGTTATCATGATCTTTGTTGGACATCGATATGCTGTGGTTGGTTAACCCCCCGTTCGTTGCTAGTGAACATGCGACTTTGCGTCTCACCCTTGTTTATTGTTGATGGTCCCTATGTCTGCTACAAATCCGGGGATATGGATACCTCCTTGAAATCTTGAATACCAACCTTTTGAACCGCCAATGCAGATAGCTAGGCAGCTAGGCGCTTGCTTCGACTCATCAAAATCAATAGTTGTTCCGCATAATCTGCTGGTACTTTTACCATTTTTGATGGCTACAAAATCTGTGTCTTGGTGGATGTATACAATCAATAAGCAAGAATATGGGGATAGTTAATGTGGGACAGTTAGACAGTTGTAGTTAATTGGATACTTAATCCGATATTCAAGAGGGGTTGGTAAATGTCCTATTTGTTTTCATCACCCAATAAAAGGTATAGATTCTCCAACAAATACTCTGTTCAGGTCATGTTCTAAAGATCTTCAAAAAGGATCAACAAAGGGACAGTCAATCAGTCATTTACCAGCCCCTGTTTATTGAGAATTATTGAGATATTTCATGATCTTTCTCAGACTTCACCGCACAGATCCGAGCACCGCGAGCACCGACAAAGGCGTGTCACTGGGCGTTCCCACTTTGCCCTGCGTCTTGTACTCGCCTTGACCTGAACCAGTCATGGTGGATTTCTCCTTGGGAAAAAAAAAAAACAGTGGCTGAACGAACAATGGTCATAATGCATAAATATGTATATATACAATATATATATATCATGGTTGTATCTCAATTACCAGATAGATCCAGATAGGATCTAAACAATCTGCTGACCATAAATGACCATAAATTCATAAATTGGATATGATACACCCACTCAAATCCAGTTATATTTTGGGAAGCTTGTCTGACACAACTTTGGATGGTGAAACTCAGGAGCTAGGGCCCCCAAAACATGAGCTCGATGATGTTGTGCACGTAGAAATAAATTGTAATTGTGTCAAGTAGTTTGTTTCCTGTTCTTTGGAATGGTGATCGAAAAAAATGAGATGAAACCGCTCAAACAGAGCTTTCAAGTAATCCCTTGAAGGTAATGTCTTAAAGGCAACCCCTATTAAATCCTTTAAAGATATCAGGCTGGTGGCACCAAGATCAACCATCATCATCCATCAAGATGTCATGAAAAAATGCCACACCACCGCGCCTAAACGTAGCGGATACTTTCGGGGTAACACCTGGCCGTGGGAAGGGAAGATGCCTTGTGGCAAGACACATCATGGCTCCAACAAAAATAAAATCGTCGGGAAAACATATTGTTTAATACATATATATATATACATACATATATATGTATAAATATATGCATGCAATATCTATGTATATATATATATGTATATGTGTAAATATATCTATGTATGTATATGTATATATATATATATGTATGTATCTATATATATATATATACGTATAAGTATGTATATATATATATATATATACATATACGATCATATACGTATATATATATATGAATGGTTTCATGGGGCGTCTTTGTATTCTGCTAGATCTGTATAGACATATGATACGTAGGTTCAAATATATTCTATGAGA